AAGACAACCACAATTTTAGATTGGTTCAAATATAAACAACACAAATAAGCATAAGATTATATCTCTTTATGTTAATCCCCCTTAGGAGAATATTCAAGTGTTGACCACAGCAGCAAATAGAGCAAAGCAGAGCAACAAACATGAGAACAAAGAATTATCACAGAAAATAATATTAATAAATACAAAACTATAACTAGAAATATAAAATATAAATGAACATATAAACACATATACATTGTTCAATAGTGACATGGAGTGCAAAATATGAGCAGAAAATTCAACTTGACTATAAACTAAACTAAAACTAAACTTGTACAAGTGTAAATTTAAATATTTAAATTAGTGCTAAAGGTTTGTGGCATTGTAGGTTGGAGTTTTAAACCAGTCTTTCTGTCTGCGGGGGTGGAGGTAGTGGTGCTGTGTTATACGTTGAGTACTGGTCTTGTGTTTAAGAGTATACCTGGTGCTGTTGGTTGTAACTTATGTACTGGTCTGGTGTTGTAATTATACTGGGTGCTGTGGTTAACATAGATTAGCCTAGCATGTAGCATATCTAAGTGCAGGAAATGAGGAAGTTGACCGAGGTTCTAATCAAGGCTAGCTCAACTGTGATTGGATCACAGAGCGAAAGGGAGCGGGGCTTAAGAGGTTGAATAGTTCAAAACTTTGAGAAATATATTCATCTTCTTTCTTTCAGAGTCTCGTGTCCGTGTTAAGAGCTGGATTCAGGATATAGTTAGCGTAGCTTAGCATGAAGACTGTAAGCAGGGGTAAACAGCTAGCGCAAGAAATTGTTCCAGCCTGTTTCTCAGTTTAGCTTTAGGTGCTGGTAGGGGTATTTTTTAACTTTGGACAGAGCCAGGCAACCTGTTTCCAGTCTTTATGCTAAGCTTGGCTAACCTTGTCCAGCTCATAACACAGAGAAATAAAAAGATTTCACTCGTAAAAAGTGAATAAATGTAAGTTTTTAACATTTTTCTAACGTTAGCTTGTTTGTTAAATGACACTGCCGGCTAGTTAGTGAGCTAACAGTTAGCTACGGGGCTGATGAGACCACATTCAACTATTCTTTATTAAACCAACAGTCAGTTCGACATGCTCCTCCTTTAAACTCCTCCTTTAGGCTCCTCCTGCTGTCTGGGAGCAGACCTGATGATGAAACCGTTGGATCCTGTTCAGACCTCGGTGCTTCCTGGTCGTCTTTGGACCAGAACCTGAATATTCAGACCCATCGTCCAGGTTCCGGTGATCCTCCAATCGGCTGCTAATCAGAACCGATCACAGAAATCAATCACCGGCAACCAGTCTTAGAAAATGCATAGAAGACAAAGATCCAAATGCCCATAGAGAGAGCTGGCTGAGGGGGCGGGGCTAAAGGGTAGCGCAAGGGTGTGTGGGAGTTGTAGTGAGAGTGCAGACAGACGGACAGACAGACAGACGGACAGACAGGAAAATGAGGACGAGGAGATAGGTGAGACGTCTCACTCTGAACACTTTGAATTACAAAGTGAAGCTTCTTTTACCTCATAAACAATCTTTGGTTGTTTTATTTTGTTCTCTCAGACAGAACCTCAGTCAGCTTCCTCCTTTCCTCTACTTATATATATGCTATGTGCTAAGCTAATCTATGTTGAAAAAACAACCACATTTTAATGGTTCAAAGATAAGAGACAAATACATATAGTCACATCTTAAGTTAACTAACTAACTTGTATACATTAATCATAGCTAGCTAGCTATCTGAAAACTAATGTTTGCAAAAAAGTGGATAACTAGCTAGTCAATTTACATCAATTGTTAGTTAGTTAGTTACCTAACCCTAACCCATTGCTCTATCCCTAACTTTATCTTTTACCAACTTCAAAATGTGGTTGTCTTTTCAACATAGATTAGCTTAGCACATAGCATATATATAAGTACAGGAGAGGAGGAAGTTGGCCGAGGGTCTTAGGAAGGGTTAATTAACATTAATTAGTTTCAGTAATGTCTGATTGGTCTGATATTGATCTTTAGAATCAGCTCCAGCAGAAAATGAGCTGCAGATGTAAAAAATGTCAAAACAGCAAGAGACCAACAATTAATCAATTAGCTGATCAACAGACAATTAATTTACAACTATTTTGATAACTGAGAAATAATTTTAGTTATTTTTCAAACAACCAATGTCTGCAGGTTCGAGCATCTCAGCTGTGAAAATCTGATGAATTTATTTACTCAATTTCTTTGGATTTCAGAATAAAACAACAGTTAACGGGACATGGCGGTGTATGGAAGGACTTGGCGCTGTTTGATGAGGTGTGACAGGAAGTGGCGGGTCGGTTGTGTAGTGGCGGGGTCCGCCGGCAGCCTCGGCGTCAGTTTGCAGGACGAAGGCTGAAATCAAACGAGGCACTTGTTATGATCCAGAGCTGCGGGTCGTCGGCCATGTTGGCCGCAGAGTTCTGCTCCGCCGTGGCTGTTGCTATAGGAACAGGCCGGCAGAGTTGCCGTGGCGATGTTATTGACAGTCAACAGGACCACAGCTGGACCTGAATGTGTGTGTGTGTATGTGTGTGTATGGCTGTTACATCATCAGGGCAAAGGGTTTTTTTTCTTCTTTTTTACAAGCAAGCAGGCAAATCAGATCATCTCTATTTACTCTCTAATAATAATAATAACAACAATAACAATAATAACTATAATGTCATTGAGCCTTTACAGGTTATAAAAATAAAAAATCATTCCAGTGATATTCACATGCTCAGAGTACAGAATCACAGACGTCAGGAAGCGTCTCGGAGGCGACGAAGGTTCTCCTGATGTTTGCATACGAGTTTAAAGTTATGAAGATGAAGATGAAGATGACCTGCATCAGTCCCAAATCAGTGATCCTGATTACTGGTACCATGAAGCTGGTTCCAAACAGCCAATCACGTATCAACAAATAAAATATTTGGTTCTGAGTTTGGTGACAACTCACAGGGCTAGCTGGCGAGCTAAGTGCTAACTCGCTAGCTTCTCTGTTTATGTCACGTTTTGTTCTTCGTTGTGAAAAAGTTATTAAAGAGAAGAAATTAAGCAGTCCAAGCTAACAGTCACGTTAGCTTAGCTCGGTTGCTAAGAGTACAATGTGTCCACAGTGTATTAACAGCTGGATGCTAACTGTGTGTAACGTAGTTTACACTCTGACTGAGGAGCTTCAGCTACGATATTTTCCTCCGTTTTGGACTCTCCGAGTCTCCGTACACTGGAAGCTCAGCTCTGTGGGTAAAAACAAAAATCTAGGTTCATATTCTTAAATGAAAGTCATACATTGGCTAGAAAAATAATAATGTTTTTGGGACTGGGAGTCACAGTTGGATTATTAACATTTACACAAATCTTACAAAGTGTTACACTCAGAATATTACTCATCTCCCCCAGCTCTGTAATTATTATTTAACCTACAGTCAGAGCCTGAAAGGGGCAGCAGTACCCTCACTTCATATTGCGTACTGCTGCCACCTCCTGGTGAGTCTAGGTACACACCACTTAAAACCTGGGTAACGCATTCTGCCAAGACCCGCCCATGTCTGCCTCTGATTGACTCGTGTTGGCTGGTTTAGGCATGAGGAGAGAGCGGGAGGCGGAGAGAGGGAGGCGCTAACTTAAAGCTGAGAAAACTGCGCTGAAAATGTTAAAATGGATCAAAAAGAGATTATAAATGAGATCTGTGTTTGTTTTTTAAAGGTTCTGGGACCATTGATGTGTTTATAGGCTATAAATATACTGTACAGGGCCCTTTTTAAACGCATATTATAACATCACACACATTAATAATCTCTGTATTTATTTAATTGTTTTAATAAAATGTGACAGTGATTATTATTATTAATCATCTTCATAAAAGAAATGTAATGAAATAATTGAAATACTATGAAGCTATAATCATTCAGTCTGTGAAACTATAATGTATAATGCGTGGTTGTTTTATCTGATACAATTATCATGAAAGTATGGAAGAGCATTAGGGCCAAAACCCTTGATGTGTTTTTGTTCTCAGAAATAATTTTAATGTGGCACTAATCTTCTTCCGTATGAGAGAGATCTCACTGACCTATACAAGATCTATTGCTCTTTATTACTTTTGTCCCTGTCAGGATCTTTTAGGATGAATCTCATTGGTCAGTAGTTGGGCTGTTGACCTGAAGGTTAGCATCGGTTACCATGGCGATCTATCACAGTTACCATGGCGATCTACCCCGGCTAACACCAGCGTCATGATACCAGACAGTCTGAGTCAAGAGGATCACACTGATGGTCTTTTTGTGATTCAGGTCTCAGGATGCACTGAGGGATGATGGGTAAAATAAAAATAAACGAGTTAATCAGGCGGCTCTGTGTGCAGCTGTTGTGTCATTGGCCAATCAGAGGCCTCAAAACCCGCCCACCAGCCAATCAAAAAAAAGTCCTTGTCTACTTGCTTCTCATCCTCCAATCAGAAACAGAGCTGTCTGCTGGCATCCAATAAGAAGCAAGAAGAGGCGGGGCCTTCTCTCAGGCAGGCCAATCAAAAAAAGCCCTTATAGGTAGCCAGTAAAAACAAGAGAATGTCTTGCTGTGAGCCAATCAGAGAGAGAGCCCGCCCGCTCGTCTCCGCCCACCCAGCCGACTGCCAATCAGAACCTGCGTCAGTTTCTGCGGGCTCGGCTTCAGCCAGGGCCCCGGCACGTTCTCCTGTTGCCACGGCGACTCGGCTCTCCTCCAATCAGAGTCCTCCCTCCACCCCGCGGTGGCGATGCTGGCTGCTGATAGGCTTACCTCGGAGTAGCTGGCTGCTGATTCGCTGTCAGACAGATGCTGGCGCTCGACGGCGGTGGCAGCGTCCATCGGCATGAGGAAGGAGAACACTGCCCTCTGTTGTGTAGCTGAGCTCCCAGAATGCTTTGCATGGCGGGTGGTGCTGTCATCTCTCTCCTCCTCTGTCACCCTCCTCCTACCCTTCGTCTCACTCCTCCTCCTCTCCCTCGCTCCCCCTCCGGGCTCCTCCACCTCCACCCTGTCCACCGACAGAGACGTGTCCCAGGATCGAGCACCGGTCCTGGGTAAGCTCCTGCTCCTCCTCCCCTGCTCCCTCTGGTTGTCCCGCTTCTCCTTCGGCCAGACAGTCTGACTTTTTCTCCTCCTCTCCTCCACCTCCTCCTTCCTCCACTCCTCCTTCCTTGCCTCCTCTTCCACTATGTCCAGGTCCAGATCAGGAGTCCCTAACCCTCCTCCTCCTCCGCCTCCTGTTCTTCGTTTGGTTTCTCCCTCTCTCCTCGTCCTCCTCCTCTCTCCTCCTCCTTCTCCTCCTCCTGAACCACCTCCTCCTCCCCTCGGCTGGCTGAGGGAGGCGGTTGTCATGGTTACTGGTTCCACATCCTGCTCCTCTGTGTGCGAAGAGGAGGAGGGGGAGAGAGCTCCTTCCTCAGGGCCTGACAGACAGACAGACAGAGAGAGAGAGACAGACTGACAGACAGAGAGTGAGACAGTGAGCTGCAGATGTGTATAAGGTTGTTTAAATGATCTCCACTGAAGCACATTGATTAATAATCTAATAATGTTACAGATAATAATTAGCAGCTATTTTTACTTTTGATTCTTAAAGTATATTTTGATTAAAATACTAAAGTAAAACTTTTTATCTCCTGTTGACTAATAAAGCCATAAAACATGTTAATAACACTGTACTGACATGAGAGATAATAATAAAATGTTAATAAGGTGTAAATTAATGAAATTATCAGATTATAACTTGTTACTCCATGTTTATGAATAATCTAATTTTGTATTATTAACATAACAAATAATAATTATATTATATAAGATATTAATAACGTAATCTATATTCTAACATGTTAATAATACGCTCATACTGTAGTATTGATACCTACCATACGTATGAACACATCTACACTATAATCAACATGATGTAAAACATTTATAACATGAGAGAACGTAAGAGCTTGTTATAAATGTTATGATGTGATTCATGTAACGACAGCAGCTGGTTGATGGACACGTGAAGATGGAGGATGACAGTCGCTGGAAGTGAAAGTAAAGAAGGAAACGAGTTCAGAATCACCAACCGCGAGTTTTCAGTGCGTCCAATCACGTAGAAGCAGGGTTCCCCCTGTTTAGAGTTGGTCATACAGAGAGACAAGCTGGACAACTCCACTGAGGAAGAGGAAGAGGAAGAGGAGGAAGAGCAGAGCAGCAAGTACAGGAGGAAGCAGGAAGAGAAAATACAAAGTCAAACAGGAAGAAGGCTGAAATCAAGAGAATCCCAGAGCTGTGATTGGATGATTTCAGAGACGAGTCACTCAAGTATTTTGACTCAATTAAAGCCCCGCCCCTTTTCTCTCTGTGCTCCAATCACAGTTGAGCCTCAGAACCTCTGGCAACTTTCAGCTGTAACTAGCTAGCTAACAATTGATGTAGATTAGTTAGCTTGCATTTAGCTAACATTAGCTAACTTAAGATGTGACTATAAATAAATCTCTTTTATCTCTGAACCAATAAAATGTGGTTGTCTTTCCAACATAGATTAGTCTAGCATAGCATATCTAAGTACAGGAAAGGAGAAAGTTGACTGAGGCTTGCTCAACTGTGATTGGAGCACGAAGCAAAAGGGGGCGGGGCTTAGGAATAATCTTTTATTGTTGCACATGATAGTTTACAAATGATTATTTATTAATTATTATTGTGCAAAAGATTGAAAAACAATCTAATGTTTTGGGCTGTTTGAAGGCTCCATAATGACGCCGTGGTATTGTTACTTTTACAGAGGTAAACACTGTAGTGGTGTTACACTGTAGTACTGTATTACACTGTATTACACTGTACTACTGTATTACACTGTATTACACTGTATTACACTGTATTACACTGTACTACTGTATTACACTGTATTACACTGTAGTACTGTAGTACACTGTATTACACTGTATTACACTGTGTTACACTGTAGTACTGTAGTACACTGTAGTACTGTAGTACACTGTATTACACTGTGGTACACTATAGTACTGTAGTACACTGTATTACACTGTAGTACTGTATTACACTGTATTACACTGTGGTACACTGTGGTACACTGTAGTACACTGTGGTACACTGTAGTTCACTGTGGTACACTGTAGTACACTGTGGTACAGTACTACTGCAGTGTCTGTACAGTAACAGTACAAGGTCTCACCGTAGTCGGGTACGTATCCGTTTCCTTTCTTGAGGACGAGGTGGATTCGATGTCCTCCTCTCCTGATCTGCTCCACAGCCTGACTGTGAGTCATCCCTGATGTACTGTCCCCGTTGATCTCCACCAGCTGGTCCGACACCTGAGAGAGCAGGTAACCCT